AAAACAGAAATGCAAATATACTTGTATGGTACATTACAAGGAATGATTCGAAAGCTTAATACAGCAGCATGGTATAATATGCTTCATACTGTTAAACCAGCTCTGCAATCCCACCAAATGAAATAATGCATTTATAAGGACAAATAGTGGCTTCTTGTTCATATACTATAAGGGCTCCCAAAATCATTTCAGCTACATTTTGAAAATTATTTGGAAGTACACAAAGAATCTCTATGAAAATAAAAATGTGCTGAGGTTTTCCCTAGTTGCATTTAAAGAGCCAAGACTTGTACTGAGGCCAAACCAAGCCACAGTGCATGTGGGTGTGTGTAGTAAGATCCTGGGAAAGCCTTGGAGCAGCCACATGGTATTTCCTGGAGGTTGTAGTTGCTTCAGTCCTTTGGGGGAAAGGCTCTTGGCCTGTATCCACAAGCTTAACATAGCCTTGTTGAAGAGCAATCCAAACATATCTTGGGTTGAACAAGTACTAGGAGAACTGTTTTCATTCTGAAATGAATAGCCCCCCCCCACCCCCCTTAGATACTTAGCAATGTAAAGGGTAGCATATTTGTTGACTCTTTGTAATTAAAAAGTGACTGAGAACTAGACAGTCTTCATGAAAAAAGGCAAACATATGAAAAACAACAGGCAGATAAAGAATTTTTCCAAATCTTTATATCAAATATAGGAAGCGAAGAGAGATAAAGAAAGAGAAGCAAAAGGCATGTTTTATTTATTTTTTTTATGTCTACTTAATCCAGAACAGATTCGTTCTGTTTTAGGAATCTTTTAAGAATCCCTTATGAATGGATCTGCTATAAATAAGGGATTAAGTATAGCTCTTGAGATTGGTGTAAAAAATGTTTGCAGTTTATCCATTATTATTATTTTTTTTTAATTTGATTTATATGCCGCCCTTCTCCGAAGACTCAGGGCGGCTTACAATGTGCTCAGCAATAGCCTTCATCCTTTTGTATATTTATACAAAGTCAGCTTATTGCCCCCACAAACTGGGTCCTCATTTCACCTACCTTAGAAAGGATGGAAGGCTGAGTCAACCTTGAGCCTTGGCGAGATTCGAACCCTGCAGTAATTGCAGGCAGCTGGTCTTAAGCAGCTTAATAACAGGGTGCCTTAAACCCTTGTACTACCAAGGCTCTTTGCTAATGAATAATGAAGATAGAGAAACCCAAAGAATAAATTTTGCTGAAGGTTTGTACAGTCACTGGCTGAGAAAAGGAGCCCTAAGAGATCACGCTGTTGGTACTGCAGTGATAAAATCTTGTCCAAATATTCTAACTCAGAATTCATATCGGAGCTCTGCCTGTACTCGTATATGCTTCAAATCATCAATAGACACAGGGGATAGTTTGTGGAACTGAGAGCAGATTCTTTAAAATGTGATTTGGACTAATTCAAAGATAATCCTATTCACAAAGTAGGCAAAATAAAGGTGAACAAACTTTGGAGGGTTGCCTTGGATGGGGTTGTGAAGCCAAAGGGCAGGCTTAGTTTTTTCTCTTTTATAAGTAGTCCTCGACTTATGATCTCAATTCAGCCCAAAATTTCTGTTGTTAAGTGAGACATTTGTTAAGTGAACTTTGCCCCATTTTACAATTTTTTTGGTCATAGTTGTTAAGTGAATCACTGCAGTTATTAAATTAAAACAAGGTTATTAAGTGAATCTGGCTTCCCATTGACTTTCTTGTCATATGACCATGGGGGTGCTGCAACAATTGTAAGCGTGAAAAATATTCATAATTGACTTTTTCCACTGCCATTGTAATTTTGAATAGTCATCAAACAAACTGTTGTAAATCAAGGACTACCTGTATTTGAGGTTTGGAAGTTATATTGAAATCATTTCTTGTTTCTGCTTTTATATTTGACGTATATACACTGCTCAAAAAAATAAAGGGAACACAAACAGAAGACATCCGAGATCTGAATGAATGAAATAGCCTTATTAAATACTTTGTTCTTTACATACAGTAGTTTATACACTGCTCAAACAACTAAAGGGAACACAAAACTACTGTATGTAACGAACAAAGTATTTAATAAGGCTATTTCATTCATTCAGATCTCGGATGTCCTCTGCTTGTGTTCCCTTTATTTTTTTGAGCAGTGTATTTTGCTACAATAGAAAATTCAGTTTTAAAAGAATTCAACAAAAATTGATCTGTAAGCTGAAATTCCAACGTAGGAATTCGTCTGTTTTTATTTTGGGAGAACAGCAGTTGTTTATAAACTTTAAACTCACCATGGAACTGTGGTTGACTGACCATGAGACATTTCAGTGTGCTATTAAGTCATAGAAAGATTGGTAGGGTCTTCCGAATAAGTGTTCTAATCCTCATTAATGACAGCCTGTACATAGTAATGTCCCAATACAAATCTGACCTTTATTTGTGCCCTGACATCAGATATAAGTATATAGGCCCGTGATGGCGAACCTATGGCACGAGTGCCACAGGTGGCACGCAGAGCCATATCAGTGGGCACATGAGGTCCCACCGGAAGTTAGCAAACGGGCCATTTCCAACCTCCAGAGGGTCTTCAGCGGGGTGGGGAAGGCTGTTTTCATCCTCCCCAAACTCCTAGAAAGGCCCTGGAGACTGGGGAGGGCAAAAAAATGGGCCTACCGGGCCCACTGGGCCATCACGTGCCAAAAATGGGGGGAGCACAGGGGTCGCATGCACAGGGGCGGGGTGCATAGAATTACGGGTATGGGCACGCACACGTGCCACCCCCCCACGCTCCCCCCACTTTTGGCACATGATGGCAAAAAAGGTTAGCCATCACTGATATAGGCCATAGGGTTTATTGTCCCCACTGCTTGGATGCCTGTGCAATTAGCCCTGAATTGTAAGAGATCCATGAAAATAGAACCAAAATATAAGTTTTGAGTTATGGGTAATAACAAAGCAGTTGATGTGTATAAAATGGAACACCTAGATGTCCTGAATAAATTACAATGGTTACTACTGTTAGAAGAAATATCCTTCTGGGTTCAGCTCCAAGTGGGGAAAAAGACACTGGAAACATGGAGACTGCTTGGAAAGATGTTTAATGGTGGACAGGATCACATGGTTTGAGTTCCTGAACAGAAAGGGCAAGATGCAGCGAGTCCCCAGGTTTTATGCCCTCTCTGGCTTTGAACTTCCTTGGGCCTTGAAAGAGTATCCTGATTGGTTGTCAGACTCCCAGGGAGTGGGGGGTCTTAGCTAGCCTTGCTGGCTGATGTAATCTTCCCAGGTGCCATGTGGTGAGTTTCTGTTGCTAGATGGGTCCTATTGTGTTGCAGATGATGGTCCATTGACAAAGGGTGGAGGGGCAGGAAGGTGGGAGCTGCTTTGTCTTTAAAACATGCTTCTCCATTTCTCATCTAGGGAAACATAATATTCTGCCTTTTTAATATTTCCTAAAATATTTCATTCTTCTAGGAAAGGGGTGGGTGCTAACTTCCTACACTACAAAGAAATATTATTTTATATTATTTTTAAATTACTAAAAGGCAGATAGACAAAGGGGCATAAATATTAAGAGAGCTCTAAAAGAAAAAATACTAGCTAATAAAATAGTAATTTTTTATCCACAAAAATTACTAGCTGCATGCAATTATATCTTTCCTGAGCAATATGGACATTGCTGGCTCCAGCCTTCCCATCCCACCATCTGATACATCTCCCAAATGTGTTCAAGTTGTGTATCTTGATGAATGCTCCAGGGCAAATCTGAAATGAATTGAATGCGTACAGTTGGTATTGGGAGAGGAAAATATTTAAGAGAATCTAGGTTAATAGGACTTTTTCTTCTAGAGAAACCAGGAAAATGTAAAGAATTCTCATCATTTTCCTGTGCCAACCCCCGAAACAATTTTAAAACTAACCCATAAGTGTCCTTACTGTCACTGATTTGAAACCGTGGAAAAAACTCATGAGCTTTTCCAGCTGGTCAATACAAGAATGCAAAAATGCTGTTCGAATCAGTGATCAACTCTCTATCCTTATCCCAGAATCTTATGGGGTGGATTTGTTTTGCTTTGCTGAGTTGGATTGGGTTTTGTTTTGAGAAAACCTTAGCTATAAGAGAGAGCTGCTGGATATTTTGCTGAAATGGAGCTGAGCTGGATCTACATGAGCTTAGTTGTTCAGTTGTCGGGCGTGGGACTACACTGGAATTAGAAAACAAATAACAGATGGAGTTATCTTCAGTATGGTTTTATAACAACAACTTTCCTATCAATCCAGACCATCATAATATTTAGGCTATAATGAAAAGCTTTTTCTGTAAGAACTGAAAGATTGTTTTAACCAGGTCTAGAGCTGATACAAACATATTATAAAATCATAGAAAAATATTTTTTAAAATATGCACAAAAACTTATCACGGTGGTAAAGGAATTCCAAAGCCACTACAAAAATGCCTGGTTGCAGTTAATGACATCCAGGTAGTCAGATTTCCAGGATACCTTGATCAGATTCATTCATTCATTCATTCATTCATTCACTCACTCACTCACTCACTCACTCACTTATTCACTCACTCAAATTCTATAGCCTCTCTCTCACATAAGTGGCTCTGGATGGCAAATAATCATAAAACCAAATTAAAACCAAGCACAAGAACAGTAAAAATGCCGTATATATCTCTGTCTAGCTCTATATCTATATTGGCCAAGAAGAAATATAACCAATATTATTTACAGTTGCTAATGTCTGATCAATGTCATTTTATTTATCTTAACATGGTTAAGATTTTATTTCTATTAAAGTAGCTAAGTTTTGTAAAATGGATGACATCTTGACCACACCACCTTTGTAATTAGTGGGTTTCACTGTGGTCTTTTACTTGCTTTCTTACTCTGTTTTTTATTTGTTTGTTTGTTTGGTTTGGTTTTGAGCTGGTCAGTGGCTGTAACAAGATGCCTACCTATTTTAGAAAAAATATGTTTTCTAAATTTTATCTCTCTCTCTCTCTCCCTTCCATTTTTATAGGTTTCAAGACTTTGCTGAAAGGAAATTCTGGAAAGTTTAGTAGTGGGGAGCTGGTGGCAATTATGGGTCCTTCTGGAGCTGGGAAGTCGACACTTATGAATCTTCTGGCAGGATACAGGTCAGTAAGTGTACAAACACCTTCATCTTTTTATGACCAATGTCTTAAAAACACAGTACTTACTTACTTGCTTGTGCTAAAAAAGAACTGACTCCTGTACTGTGAAAAACCTGAATGTGTAGGCTTGCCTGTTTAATCTGATTTAAAGGCATGAAAAAAAAATAGGCTGTTTCTTCTCTTGCTTTCAGGGAGACTGGGATGAAAGGAGAAATTCTCATCAACGGGCAACATCGTGACTTGCGTTCTTTCCGCAAAGTGTCTTGTTACATTATGCAAGATGATATGCTGCTTCCACATCTTACTGTCCAGGAAGCTATGATGGTATGGTTATTAATAATAGCAACCACATCTATACAACATACAGTTCTCTTTTTTCTGAATTAACTTCTTCCTGGGTTATGCAGTAATTATTGTGCATCAAAGAAAATGAAAAGAAATAAGATGCATTCGTGAACAGGATTAAGAGGAATTATGGACAATATAATTCCTGTCCCAATTCACAGGAAGGAAAATCTTGCATTAAATCTGCCTTGCTGAAGAACTAATGGACAGATTGTATCCTTTGCCCAGCAATTGGGTAAATTTCCAAAGAAAAAGAGAGGGGGGAGAGGGGGGAAGGGCAAAAGAGAGAAAATTGTAAACTATATATCATATAGTTGGCGAACCTTTTCGGCACCAAGTGCCGAAACAGGAGTGTGCGTGTGTGGGAGCGCCAGAAACTGGAAGACCAGCTCCCCAGTGCACACGCAGGAGAATGCTGGAAACTGGAAGAGCAGTTCCCGGCGCGCATGCGCTGAGCCTCCAGTTTCTGGCGTGCAATCGTCTCTGGCATTGCCTCATGCAACTCTTCTAGGGAACCAGACAACACACGTCATGGGCAATCTTGCAAAATATGTTTAATAGTTTGCATATCAGCACCACAATCGTGACAAGGGGAATCTTTCCATCCCCTCTGATACAGGGCAGAGGCACTTCTTCCAGTATCATACCTAATTCTGTACAATTTTGACTGAACAAAACAAATCAGGTCAAAACCAGATGGTTTGGTAGAGGGATCACTAATGGTCAGGCCACACAAGAACGTACCTTGGATCATTTCTTTCTCTTGGTTAAACTGGGTTGATGTTAAGTGAATAGCTGGCCTGCGGCAGAGGTGGTATTCAGCAGGTTCTGACCAGTTCTGGGGAACTGGTAGCGAAAATTTTGAGTAGTTTGGAGAACAGGTAAATACCACCTCTGACTGGCCCTGCCCCCATCTATACTCTGCCTCCCGAGTCCCAGCTGATCAGGAGGAAATGGGGATTTTGCAGTAACCTTCCCCTGGAGTGGGGAGGAAATGGGGATTTTGCAGTAACCTTCCCCTGGAGTAGGATGGGAAGGGAGATTTTACAGTATCCTTCCCCTGCCGCGCCCACCATGCCACGCCCACCAAGCCACACCCACAGAACCAGTAGTAAAAAAATTTGAATCCCACCACTGGCCTGCGGGATTTCAGTCTCATGATGGGCTATGTATTGTCCTGGTGAATAGGGAGGGCCTTGTTGTTCAGTATCCTTGACCATAGCCGATTAAGAGCTTATTGTCTCCTAATTTGGGCGGTATGATATTGCTAAGTATTGGTAACCTGTGCACAGGAGTGGAATGCAATGTGCCAGAGATGATACACATTGTCTGGCAGATTTGGACATCAACCATTGAGTGCTGTTAAGCCACACACCGGCACAATATTCATCTGTGAAATAAACCAAGCTGTTGTTTGTAGAGTATTAGCATCAGCATCCCAGGATGTTCCAGCCAGACTGTTCAGTAAATTGTTGTGGTGTTTCAATTTTGCAGGAACTACAGAATAGATACTGCTTGTCAATGGATTCATTAAAAGCGGGGGGGGGGATGACCTTGGATTACTTTTCAGCCAGCCAATTTTCATGATATTCTATTCAATGTGTATTTCCAATTCTTTATCATTTTTTCTATCATGCTGGGAGTCTTAGATATAATCAAAATTACTTGACTCTATATTGTTGATCAAGAATGTCCTTTCTAAGCAAGCATTCAATCTGAAATTAAAATCTGGTCTTTTTGAGCTCTCTTGAACTGCAACAGAATCAAATCAAATATTTTTTGGGGGGTGTGGTAGTATCAATCTTTATTTATTGATTAGCCCTTGGGCCATATCAAACTGCAGAGCTCCAGAAACAATTATTACAAAAGTTTGGTAGAAGCAATTTAAAATGAAATTGGAATAGGAATAAAACACAATTTAAAATGAAATTAGAGTAAAATACAATCTAGAATGAAATCAGAATAGAATACAATAATTTGAGATACAAATTTAAATATGATTAAATTTATATTACAATGTCACCCCTGCAGCTACCCAATCAGTCTTAAAACTACTATTAGAATTACGTTATTAAATCAAGTGATCTTTCCTGCAATCTACCACATTTTGCTGCACCAACTTTGTCCTTTTTTCCATCAATTTTACAGCAAATTTGGCAATCCATTTCACTAGCTGCAAGTTAGAACCTAACAAACAATGTTGCAAGAAGCGCTCTTTAGACTTAGGGGTGCTGGCGTAAAAGATCCTGCCCAGCTGATGTTCCCTCAAATCTGAGTACAGGGGGCAGTCAAAAATTACATGGGAGATTATTTCAACTTCCCCGTTCCCACATAAACAGACTCTTTCACTTACAGGGATACCCTTATACCTACCCCAAAGCATGTTTGTTTGAAGTTGGTCTAATCTCAATTTGGTAAAAAAATCTCCTTATGACGGGAAACAAAGGCACAGTTAAATATTTTTCTATTTTAAAAATTTGTTTATTGGCCAATAACTAAGGGCGAACTTTTACTGCTGTCACCTGTGCAATATCCGATTGTGCACTTATGTCCTTAAATATCTGTGCAATCCAATTTCGGATCTGCCTATGATCATACTGCTGCCAATTTAAAGGAATACCAGAGCTAGATACCTGCTTCAGAACTCTTGATAATGTGTGGTAGTCGGGATAAATGCATTCATAGCTTTGGAAAATATTATTTTTCTAAGCAAACTTATTATAATAAACGTATAATTTTCCAATCAAATGTTTCCAGGTAGTTTCTTGAAGAGATGGTTCAATTAAAGGTGGATTTTTTTTTCTTCATGAATACCTGTGTCAGGCCAGCTGTATACTTTTAATAAAGCCAAAAGGTGTTGTAGTATAAGCAAAGCCAGATCTGAATATTCCCATGTAAACCTGGTGCTTTCCCTGTCTCCTGGGTCCTCTCCCCTTGGTCCTTTCGTCAGTGTCCAATGGCATTCAAACTGGGTGTTTTGGTAACAGTCCTAAAGTTTGGCACCTCTTTGGTGGGTGTTCACATTCTGCTCTCATGCTTGTGTCCTTGGATCTGCCAGGCTCTGTTCCAGGCCGGCATCTCTGGTTCCTGTCATCCTGTCATTCCCCCTCCCCATATCTGCTTACTACTCCCTTCCCCCTTTTATGGCAGGATGCCACTGAAGCAAAGCAGGGCTGAAGTGATGCAATGGCAGATCTGACAACCTGCAAGCTTCTCACATTACTCTAACAAATATTTATCCTAATTGAAATTATTGATAAAATTTCACCTCTTAAGGATTTATTTCCTGGCTTCTATACAATAATAGCTACTGATATGTACTTTAAATAAGCAGCCACATTAGTTTCAAAAGACCTATACTGTATTATCGGAATTGGGTAAGTATTTTGCATGGCTGACATCCTCCCCCCAAATAAATTGACTTAATAAGTATAATATTCTACTATTTCAGGTGTCTGCCCACCTGAAACTTCAAGAAAAAGATGAAGGCAGGAGAGAAATGGTATGTATATTACTTTATTCTGACTTAAAATGTGGTACTTATTTTCTTTTAGAAGAAAACACAGTATATTTTTTATATCTGAAAGTATTATTTTTATATGTAAAAGTAGTATATTTAGAAGGTTTTATAGAATATTTTCTCCCTTTTTTGACCAGATGTATGAAATGTTGAATGCAAAGAATATCCAGTTTGCATATAACTTATGTAATTAAAATCAGTAGATTGAAAAGACTGAATGGAAGAAATATGGGAAATGTAGATATAGAAGAATTTGTGCAATGATAGGAATGCTTCGTTGAACATGAAATTTGAGTTCTTAGCTGGATCAGTAACTTAGGGTTTGAGCTGGTGGTAAAAGATGCTTTTGACCTGAGAGCCCATCTGGTATAGTGATATTAGATCAGGAGATTCCAAGTCTATTCATTTATCAAACTCAGTGGGCAACTTTAGGCTATTGCTGTCTTTCAGCCCAACTTACTATTTTAATAGGGTGGTTGTTATGTGATAAAATTAGGAGAGATCTCCCTGTATGCTTCCTTGAAGCATAGAGGCAGGAAAAAAATGGGATATAGCATGGAACATTTAGTACGTCTAGAATCTTTTCAGTGAAAGCTGAAGACCCAGACATATTTACTTAGAAAGAAATCAAATGGATATTTGTGGAAAATGTGCATGGACTAAAAATACAATAGATAGATAGATAGAATATGACTTCCTGAGAAAGGCTGGTATCTACCTAAAATTTAAGTGCCAGTGATTTAGAGCATTCTAATTGGGGTGAAAGGGATTCCTCTTTCATAGGTCTACTATATTTGAGCCGATAAAGATGGAAGTAAAGAGATACAAAGGCGCTTTGCGGCAATTCTGATGTCCATTTTTGCAGTCCAAATTTGGTAGCCCCAATGTTTCATTTGATTTTTAAATAAGAAATGAGAAAGGGACCACTAATAAATGATAAAATGGATCCTTAGCAGAGTGTATAATACATGGATAATAGGTAACAACAACAGAGCTGGAAGGCACCTTGGAGGTCATCTAGTCCAACCCCCTGCTCACGCAGGAGATCTATATTAGGGATTCGAACTGCCGAACTGAATAGGATCATAGTTTTCATCCAAAATGACTACTTAGTCTTGCTTCCTTACAACCTTAACAATAATTAGAACTAGCAACTTACAAACAGTTGAACTATGTTAAAATAAATATTAAACAATGTGCTTCCTAATACTTCAGAGTTGGCATATTAGAAATTTTATAAAATATTTACCTATACACTTCTCTAGTTTCAGATATTTATGTTTCAGAGATCACTATTGTGATATGAATACAATTACAGAAATTATTACCAAAGTTTCCCTTATGTTGTTCCTCTTCACAGGTGAATGAGATCCTGACAGCTTTGGGTTTGCTGTCGTGTGCCAGTACTCGCACTGGAAGCCTTTCAGGAGGGCAGAGAAAGCGTCTTGCAATTGCTTTGGAATTGGTGAACAACCCACCGGTTATGTTTTTTGATGAACCTACCAGGTAATTTGTGTTCTGGAGTAAAAGGCTAACAATTATTACAAATAAGCTTTAAACATTTATTATTTTTAGTATCTAAAGTATTAAAAAGTTAAAAGTATCGTCTTGATGTTTTAATTTTAAATAGATCTTTTTAAAGAAAAAAGTGACCTTTGACTGTGGAAATTCACTTTGTGCATTAATGTATTATATCAAGATGAATATAATCCTGAATTTAAGATATTCTTTCCCTCCAAAGGGAGGATAAGAAAAATATATTAAAACACAGATAAAAATTTAGTGTAATGCTCAGCTTCCTCACCTTGTCAACCTAGGATTGTTAACTCCAGATGAAACCAATACTAAAAACTTGGCTAAATAAATCCAATAAATGTCTGCATGTAAACCAGAATCAAATAAAAAAATATTTTGATGCTAAAATCAAACACCAAATTGACATACTTAAGACAAAAAAAATCCTATAAATTTAATTAATCATTAATATTGTTCAATTATCTGTAAAACAAGATACTTGAGTTATAAAATTCATGGATTTCTATATATTAGAATTCATTCAATCAAACAAACATAAATAACTCTCATACAGAGGAAAAGACACTTCCTCGTAGGTGTTAAAAACAAAATGGGAAAACAGGATGGAGATGGGACAAAGTAGAGTAGCTACAGCAGGAAAGAAAGGGGGGGAAAAGAGCAACCCCGAATACAATTAAAAATAATTTGTTTTTCTTTAGAAAATATATGTATATGTGGGATTAATTATGGATAAGAGAATGTACATTTACAATATATTTATAAGAAATAAAACAAAAAACTTTTTTCAAAAAAAAAGGAAAGAAAGGGAAAAAAGTAGAAAGAATGAGAAAGTAAGGAGTAGTTGGATGGTTAAAGAAAAAAAAAAACTAAATTTCATTCTTAAAAGATTAAATTTACAGGGTAGCTGGTCCTGCCAAGCAACAGCTAGTCCTTAGGCTAATTTTTAGAAGAACCCATATATTTCAAAGTACACTCTGCAATTGTTTGCATCTCTATCCACTTATAATGATTATTTGGGGGGGGGATCTTGCTTTCCTTTCAGGTAAATAAATACACAGTATGAATTACTGTGTTAATATATCCTTTATCTCTTCATTAAGTGCAGTGTATGTGAGTTGTGAAATCCTGCATTTAACCAGAGTTGCCTACTGCTATGTATACTACTTTGAATTCCATAAGAAAAACAAAATATACAGCATATGCCTATATTCATTGATCACCATCACCATGACTTCATGAGTTGGTTCCAAGGTTGTTTTTTTAAATAACTTGAATAATAACAACAGCCGCAACAACAACAACAACAACAACAACAACAACAACAAACTATTTGGCATTGAGAATACCAGGAGGTTCATGGACATATTCTTGTTACTTGCCAATCTCCCTATTTTCAAATAGAAAAAATGATGATGCAACAAAAGGGGCAGCCTCCTACATTTTCAAGAAGCTCTCAGGGCACCCAATAAATATATAAAAAAAGGAAATAAAAATGTCGGGTAGCTATAGTCCAGACTTCGTTTCTCCTCTAAAAAAAGGACTAGCATAAGCAAAGACAGTATCTTTGTATAGTATACAGCAGTATAGTATACATACAGCAGTATAGTATACATACAGTATACATACATATAGTATGATCTAGAGGTTTCTAGTAGCATTGTAATAATTACATGCTTTGCAATTGTTTATATTTAAGAATTTTTGCTTTACAAAATGAATCATGAATCATTTTTCCAATATCTCATTTGCATTCAGAAAGTATTATTTGACAAAACTACTTTCCTATCAAATAATTGATTAATTGAATATATGCCAGCCCTCTCAAAAGCTGCCAAAATGAGAGGTTAATTTGCTCAGGGTTCATGACACTCCAACATTGAATGTGCTGTGATATGTGAAAATGTATCACATATAATATTATTATTATATATGAATAATATATAATATGTGATAAGCATAATAATATATAATAAGCATAAACATAACTGATAGATGAGGGAGTCAAGGCTACATTTTGGTGCACAGAATATGATATTAGCAACCTTGTAAAAGACAAGCTAAAATATGGGTAAAAAATAAGTTTGCAGTTAAGAAGCAAAAAGGAAAATTGCCTTCCAAAACTGACAGATTACTTGTAGGATTCTCTTGCTGAACTTTCATTCAAACTCTTTATTCCAAGGTCAGTTTTGGATATTAAAAGAACAAAGTGGACAAACTGTGTTTTCTTCATTTTTTCCATAGTGGCCTGGACAGTGCATCTTGCTTTCAAGTTGTCTCTCTGATGAAGGCTTTAGCCCAGGGTGGCCGGTCCATCATCTGCACTATCCATCAGCCCAGTGCCAAACTCTTCGAACTTTTCGATCAGGTAGAATCATAGGGCTGAAAGACATGTATATGTGCACACTGTGTCATAGCCACTTGGATGCTGGTCTTGAAAGGGTCTTTCCTCATTATTAAAAGATCTTTTGTTAGCATCATATTTAACCATCATTCACAGAGAAAAGCTGTAATACATCACCTGCAGAAAATGATGAATCAATGCAGTTAAATTTGTTTGGGAATCAGTTAGAACAGAGTGTTATAGAGAAGTTGCCCTTTGCCAGCTGTTCCTTCGAAATGCTTACATTGTAGTAAATGCATTTATTGGGAGTATACAGATTATTCCTAAATATTAAAGTAATTATCTTTAATAAGGTGGTTTTCCCCACAGAATTCCACTGCAGCACTTTGATGTGGTAATATTCTGCCTTTGCAAAAATCTAGGCAGCGACAATCTGCTTTGCTCATCAGATCTCAGAACCATAGCAGCTGAGTGAAAGTAACCGTATCATTTTGATGAATATAAGTGAGGATGTTTAATTTCATAAGGGAGAAGAGGTTTGAAAGGGTTGCTTTGGTCAGATAAAAGTGCTGCCTTGAAGATCTACCAGCCCTAATGTTTACCACAGGAATAAAACACGAGACATTGCTAAGTTCACACATATTTTCACTCATGCAGCTTTTTAACTTTCACTCAACCTTTCTCAGACTTTGGACTTTATTATGTTCCACATATGATATGTAATAGGTTTATGCAGATGTAATTAATAATGCTTTATTTTACTGGATGTCTAAGGAAATATCTCTTCAAACTGCCTCTGTGAAGGATATCCTGTTTTTCTGCAAATGAGCAGAATGACTGCTTTGCTTGATGAAAATAGCTGCTGTTCAGTAAATCTGTTCATTGAGATAGATCAGTCATATCATAACTGTTCATTAAGGTGACTGAATGTAGTTCTGTGAAGATAGGAAAACATATCTGTGAGGTGAAATAAGTCTTTGGAGTAGATTTCCAATAATTTGTATAGTTTAACAATTCATATCAAAATTACTAATCCATTTGTAATAAGAAAAAACTATTTAACATATTGAAATTTGTCAGCCATTAAAATATAATATAGTGGAATTAGGAAATTGTTGAGAAATTGAAAATATTGAGGTTGTGTATTTAGGAAGTTTATGATGAGAAAAATGAGATTAGAAATTAGATCTGAATTAGCCCTAGTGTGCATGCATGCTAACATATGTAACAAATAATTTTGTTTATTAAAGTTTAGGGCTAATTTAAAACTACACCTGAGAAAAATATTGATATAAAAATGTTGTACAGCAAGGCTAGGCATGAGAAAAATAGATGTTTTTAATGTATATGAGCAGAGAGATTAATAAATTAAATTGCAAGCAATATCTTCCAGTAGTTAAACCTGGAAAGAGATATCATATACTGTAAAATCCTATTGGTTCTTCTTAGTAAGTATATTAACATCCTGGAGATTTAACTATGTCAGTGTCTCTCCTTTAACTTAGATAATATTTTTGTAATAAGATTGCATATCATAATTCTGAAGCTAGACAGGAATATTCTTCATCATTTCTTGTTTTTCTTTATTTCAGCTCTATGTCTTGAGCCAAGGGCAATGCATTTACCGTGGGAAAGTATTAAATTTAGTCCCTTATTTGAGAGATTTGGGTTTAAATTGTCCAACATATCACAATCCAGCAGATTTTGGTGAGCAAAATGATGGAGGTTCTAACTTTCTTTCACAAGCTTTCACAAGATACTGAATTTCTATATGTGTGTCTGTTTTTGTGTCTATACCTATGCATAGTAATTATATGGTATCTATTTTTTGATATCTTATACCCTCTAGTGGTAGATAGAATTGCCAGAGCTAGTTCATTGAAAAAAGCCCTTTGAAGTAAAACTAAGAGAAAGTAGAACACAACAGAGCTGTATTTGATCAATGTTTTCCTTCTCTTTTATGATCAAAAATACAGAAGCTCAAGACAGGCTTTATTTGGGAGATAATTTCATATTCATATTGGAAATAAGCATACATTCCAGAGATTATGGCACAGTAGTGGGTTTCAATTTAATTTGCTACCGGTTTGCTCGTGCGTGCGCGCTCATATGCGCGTGCGACCCTTTTGCGCATGCACAGAAGCATCCAGATGGGTGGGCAGAGCCTCCCGCCGCTGCTGCTACCGGTTCTCCCAATCCAGGGTGAACTGGTAGCAACCCATCACTGATACGGCCTAACCCTAATTCCTTATCTGATTCTTAGATCTTTTGTAATTATTACTGTTTTTTTCTTAATTTTCAATGGCTGCCATGTATCCGAACTATTGCTTCTAATTTAAGGTGACCAGACGTCCCGCTTTTGGCGGGACAGTCCCGCTTTTTAGCAATTTGTCCCGCGTCCCGCGGCGTTTCAAAAAAGTCCCGATTTTTCATTCTGCCTCCTCAGTCCCGCTGCCTCTTGAGCCCCAGCTGATGGCTAGAAGAAAAAAAAACTGTTTAAACTCTTGCCGGGGGCTTCAAAGGGCCGCCCTACAGGCAATCAGTGTAAAGAGTTTTTTTTTCCCCTAGCTAAGCTGCAGAAACGAAACCGAAACCAGGATCTTTGGTGCAACGTGACAAAATGAGGCAGAGAGATTTATTTTTATTTTTATTTTTCCTCCCCAAAAAAGGTAGGTGAAAAACTGCAAACAATGGGAAATTTAGGAGGAGAGTTCAAGATTTTAAAACACAAAAGAAAAAAAAGCTGTATTTAACTAGGGAATTGTAATAATTGAGATACTATTAATTGTATATTGTGTTGAAAGCAGAAATGGTTAAGTTGTGGTTCAGAGGAATATATGAGAGAAATTATTTGGTTTATTATTATTGGTAAATATAATTAATTGATTTGTAAGAAATTGGATTGCATGGAAATAATTGGAATATACATGTTCATATTGATTAATATACAAAAAGATAGTTTTATAACTAATTGATTTATATTAAAATGTTGAATTTGTATTAAACAACTGTATTACATAATTACATAATTAAACAATGTGAGGATGGATATAAAAATAGATGACAATGGGAAGGGGTATAATATAGAATAGAAGGGAAAAATTGAATTTGATTAAGATTAGAGATGAGGATGAAGGCTAATATTGTTTTTTTAAAAAAATAGATGAGGAATAAATATGGCAAAAAGGAAATATAGAAATTGTAAATTTAATTGAAATGACTAAACACTGTTTAAATTTGTGAACCAGCCAAATATTCTGTTCAAAGAAAATACATTGTATGTTTGTATATGTGTTTCTAATTATTGCTATTTATTCATATTTGTTCTCTTTTATTCTTTAAAGTTTAACAATTCATTCTTTATCTTAATATCTTTATATTTGCTTGGGGTTGGCTTTCTTCCCTTTCATCTTTTTTATTGTACAGCAATCTTTCTCCTCAAACCTACCACCTCTCTCTTTTCTTTCCTTCTTACTTTCTCTTCCCCCCACCCTCTTTTTTCCTCCCTACTTCCTCTTCCTTTCTCCTTCTCCTCCTCTCTTCTTCCCTCTCTTACCCTCACTCCTACTCTAATTTCCATTCCTTCATCCCTCTCTATTGCTGTATCCTTTAATGCATATGGACTACTCAGAGGGCTGAAAAAGTTATTTTTGACTGGTCCTCACACTTTTGACCAGTCCTCGAACTTACGACTGTCCTCACATTTTACATTTTTGCCCTATCTTGTCATCATGGTGAAGAGAAGCAGTTGTGAAATGAGTGACATGGTTGTTAAGATGCTGCACGGGCATAAATGTGAGGATGGTCATAAGTGTGAGGACCAGTCAAAAGTGCGAGGACCTGTCCGAAATGACTTTTTTCAGCCCTCTGGTTAGTCCTTTTGTGCATATGGACTACTCGGAGGGCTGAAAAAGTTATTTTTGACTGGTCCTCGCACTTTTGACCAGTCCTCGAACTTACGACTGTCCTCACATTTTACGTTTTTGCCCTATCTTGTTACCATGGTGAAGAGAAGCAGTTGTGAAATGAGTGACATGGTTGTTAAGAATGCTGCACGGGCATAAATGTGAGGATGGTCATAAGTGTGAGGACCAGTCAAAAGTGCGAGGACCTGTCAGAAATGACTTTTTTCAGCCCTCTGGTTAGTCCTTTTGTGCATATGGACTACTCGGAGGGCTGAAAAAGTTATTTTTGACTGGTCCTCGCACTTTTGACCAGTCCTCGAACTTATGACTGTCCTCACATTTTACGTTTTTGCCCTATCTTGTCACCATGGTGAAGAGAAGCAGTTGTGAAATGAGTGACATGGTTGTTAAGAATGCTGCATGGGCATAAATGTGAGGATGGTCATAAGTGTGAGGACCAGTCAAAAGTGTGAGGACCTGTCAGAAATGACTTTTCAGCCCTCTGAGTAGTCCCTATACACATAGCCATGGCCACCCAGTCACATGACCAGCTAGCCACGCCCACCCAGTCACATGGCCTCCAAGCCACGCCCACACAATAAGTCACACCCACAATGGTGTCCTTCTTACCAATGTTAAAATATGTTCACCTTACCCTATACACATAGCCATGGCCACCCGGTCACATGACCAGCTAGCCACGCCCACCCAGTCACATGACCAGCTAGATCTGGTCACCTTATTCTAATTCCAAGATACTGTTTGTGCTTAAGTGGCTGCCTTAGATGTTGAAACAGTACAGTTTTATCACATAAGATGGAACTCAGTTTCCTATCTTTAAAATTCCAATGGATACTAGTCTTACTTAAAATTATGAACTGTATGTCATAAAAATTTGTGGTTACAGCATTGTTTACAAATGCATGTCAAATGCTTTAAAGTGGCAATAGCCATTTTGATGTAGGGGAGTTAGTCAGGGCATAATGATGCAAGCCCTGACCCTTTTCTGGTGTCACCCATGTCACAGCTTCACAATGCAATCTGTCCCATGTATGGCCCAAACAGTTGAGGTTTGTGGCACAACTTTGCAATATGTTATTTGCCTACTGATGAAAATGGCAGGTTCTGTACATGCTGTTGCACTTTATCTTGATGGCTGGCAAACTCCACAATTTTATGCATACCTGACAGCTAGGAATAATGCTTCATATATCTCACTTTTATTCTACTATGTAGTAGGATTAAATAGTTTTTTCTACTTCTTTAGTGATGGAGGTCGCCTCTGGTGAATATGGAGATCAGAATAGCAGGCTTGTAAGAGCTGTGCAAGAGGGAATGTGTGATGCAGATTACAAGAGAAACTCTGGAGGAGAAAATGAACTTAACCCTTTTTTATGGCACAAACCATCAGAGGAGGTAATTCAAAGTAAAGGAGATCACGTCAGTCACTGTAGCTCTTTGAGTTCTTTAGTTTTAAGCGCTTCCTTCGGCTGGGAGTTGGGTGACATATATGTTTAATAAATTTATTATTATTTTGGTTCATCACATAGCAAGGCAGATGTTTAGACTGGATTTGGTATTTTTATCCACTTATTGAGTATTATCATTAGTATTGAATTATTTCTAAACTGTAATAAAAAGTGAACTTGGCTCAGCAGTTAGTTCCATAATAAAACCCCCAGTATGCAAGGGTGCTTCTCAGGTAATTTTGTCCCAAATGTTTTATATGCCAACGTGAGCACTTTGAACTGGGCTCAGAAAACAACCAGCAACCAGTGTTACTTTTTCTTTGTAGAAATAAACTCCCCACATTATAGTGTCAAATTCTGGCCCATCTGCAATTTAAGACTATCTTCAAGGATGACCTCACAATGATTTGTAATAGTCCAATTTTGCAACAACTAGGATATGTGTTACTAATTTGAAATCTTTCTTCTCCAGAGAGAAGTGAAATTGATTTAACAGTCAATATGGTAAAAAGAATCCCATGCCATAGATGTCATGTGGCTGTTCAGCATGAAAGCTAGATCCAGAAGCACCCATAGACTGCCAACCTGTTCTTCAAGTGGGAATTCCAGTCCATCCAGAATAGGTTTATGTCTGAAATTCAATCCCTGAGTTTAATTTCGGTTTTTTTCTGTCCATTCAAGTCTGGTAAAACACAAAGGAAGTGACAGATTAAGATTATAGTTGATGTAAATGTCTGAGTTATTTTTAAGTGTGAAATTATAATATGCTGAAACTTGATATCATGCGAAGTATTTTATTCAAAGTATTTACAGTGTTTCTTTGAAACATCTTTCTCACCTGGAACAGAAGAGAAATCAAGTCTAAGAAAGAACTTCTCATGCATGGATAAATATATCACTAGTTGTTAGTGGTAAAGGCTATGTTTAGTGTTCTTCTTTAGTGTTGTTGAGAAGGAGATATACCTCAAAAAAGAACTGTTTTAAATTCAAATCAAATGGTTGAGTTCTGTTTAGAAAGTTAAAGATTAGTTGGCTAGATCTTAAATCTGATTCAACAAATATTTTTCTATCTGAAAACTGTAAATTTGAGTCAGACCTGTCATACATTATTTCAATTTAGGTTCCATTAAAATTATGTCTGATATTAAGCAATATATTCTAATGGCCAACGCTTCACTGAGCTAAATTATTTGACTGTGTGCTGAATCCAGGTCAGACATCACTGCTGCAGACCAGAAGTGGGGGAGCTTTTGTTAGATTCAGTATGTTTACATTGTTTTTTTTTGCCTTCTGAGAAGTCAGCTGATACAAATGTAGGTCTAGCCCAGTCTGACCTGATTTTGTGCCAGCATTGTGGATGTTTCTCTGATCTGGCTGCACTTGGTTGTTTTCCTGGCTTATTTTGGCATTTTGCCTATATATTTTGTTATTTTACAAGATTATCTATCTGCTAAAATATCTTAAAATCAGTGGATGATTTCAGCTGTCCCAAAAGTAACCCAGCCAGCATTTTTTTTTAATATTTTGTCCTTCAATAGAAACCAACTGCAACAAACCAAATTTTGATTCAATATAACACTTACTTAAATGCTAGATAGCAAATTTGTAGAATCAAAGTTATGTTCATTGATATTGGTGTTGAAACCCGAGAAACAATACAAACCAAACATTTCTTTTCCACTTGTGTTTTGCACCAGGATTCTTCATCTATGGAAGGCTGTCATAGCTTCTCAGCCAGCTGTCTTACTCAGTTTTGCATTCTGTTTAAAAGAACTTTTCTCACCATAATGAGGGATTCGGTAAGGTTCAGATTTTATGTATAAGAAAGAAAAGTGCATTGTAAACTACCAGTATCATTTTGATCTATGAAGCCATATTACTGATATTAAGTGCATAAAATAAAAGAAAGATAGGTTGATTCTTTTAGTGTTGCATAATTTAATCATTACATTTCAAAGTCAGGAGATGTAAAGGGAACTATCAATATAAAGCTTTATATGGATGTATAACGTGCTTTAAATAATACTAAACACATTATTAGTATTTAAGCCTCTGAGGTTTTTCTTTATCTGTTTTGACCTACCATCTCTGTAGCTTCATCCATGCTCTTAGCAGAGTTCTTCAGTTTTTCTCCCTTCTCGGGCATCCCTATCAACCTTAATGAGTACAAAATATTGGAAATGTATGGAATTAAAATTATAAAGTGAACTCTAGCAAAAATCTCTGCCAGGTCCTGTATTCTCTTCCCAAGTATATTTTCTACCTTTTTTGTCATCCCACCAGTCCCTCACTTTTGTCTCATATCTGATTGTTACTGCAAACTTATTCCTTTTTTTCACACTGAAAAATTTAGGAAGATACTTTAATTTTTCACTAACTTGGAACCATTAAACTGGAAGCATTACATATAAAAAGCCTCTTAGGTGAGATTAGAATAAAAATCACATTGTTTTATAAAATTATTTGCATTCCCGCTTCTATGCTATACAGAGACATCATCCTGTTTGTCATGAAGTGTGTATACATATGTGTAGATATTAGCATGCTGTATAGGAGTTGCTAAGTCAAAAATATTCTTAGTTCAAAGATAATTTTCCTTCCTGACAGGTCCTGACACATCTGCGGGTAACATCTCACATTGGAATTGGACTTCTGATAGGCTTGCTGTATTTGGGGATTGGAAATGAAGCTAAGAAAGTCCTGAGCAATTCTGGCTTCCTCTTTTTTTCCATGTTGTTTCTTATGTTTGCTGCTCTCATGCCAACGGTGCTTACATGTGAGTAACCAGTATCACACAGCCAACTAGGCTTCTTTAATCAGTTGCTTCCCAAATATCCTGAACTTCAATTCCCAAAAAACCTAGTCTTTGGTTTCATTGGCAAGGAAACACAAGAGAAGCTCGAACTGTTTATATGGCACCAGTGGTGGAAGGTTACTAATATGCTAATAGTTTGATAAGCCATCTATTAGATGGTTTCAGTAATACTAATAAAACTCCATGTAGTTGTTTTATGCATACATGCATACACACACAAGGACTGAGCAGCACTTTGGGTTCATAGAAAAAAGGCTGTACAGAGTTTACAGAGGTGCATATATTATCATCACCATTATCATCATTTTCTGCCTTATATATGTCTCAAGACAGTGAAGATGCCTAATACTCCTGCCATCTATTTTCCCCACAACAATGACCCTGTGAGGTGAGTTGGTCTGAGAAAGAATGACTGTCCTAATGTCTCCCAGTCAGCTTTCTTGAATTAAGGTCAGCACTTGCCTGCATTTGCCCAAGCCAATGTATCTTTTCTGTGGAGTATGTGGCAGATGATCCCAGGAAACAGCATATAGTTCATCCATACATCCACTTTCCTCCAATCTATAAGTTGGCAGGAAAAAATGTGTGTAAACTGCAGTGGTTCCCAAACTGAATTTTACCTCAGTGAGCAGTGAGGCTGGGCAGTGTTTGCAGCCTTTGCAACATGGTGTAAGTTCGGAAAAGTGATTGGTACCTGAAACACGCATGTGTTTAAATATTTCTGAATCTGAGATTATCAATTGATCATTCAAATATTCCTTCCTATTTCCCATATGTGTTTCCTAGTTCTTCCACTGGAGGGTATTGTCAGATAACTCCCCATTTTCACACAACCCAGCTACTCTTGCTTGGCTTAGTTAATGAAAGATAATGTAGATAGCTCTATTTACACAAACATCCAAGAACTTGGATGGGGACAGATTAGAGTGTAGAGCAGGGATGTCAAACTCGCAGCCTGCGGGCCAGATACATCATGAGCTGGCCACGCCCACTCCTGTTTAGTGAAGGGGGAAAAGTCATGATACATCACGTGACGACAATGTGACGACGTGAGTTTGACACCTCTGCTGTAGAGTGTTAAAGACTACCTTTATAATCAGTAACAAGTGATGTTTCCCAATCAAGATTCAGGAGAAATATCTTAAATCTACCACTTTGGCTAGCACTCTTTCACCAACAAACATGAGAACAATAAAAGGAAGCTTGTTTACCAGTTAAAACTCTTCCCTCTCTCTGACCATTTATTGGGGTTATTTATCCCCTTCCCTCTGGTTAATCAGCTAATTTGGTTTTAGCATCCTTTCATCCTAATCCTTTTTCTTTACTGCAAGGTAAGTGAATTCAGCAGCTGAAAGAGATCTAGTCTTCCAACCTAATCCTTGTCCTTCATTGCTAAATCTGTGCAACTAAGAGGGAAATTGTCTTTTCACTTTAGGGTTTGATTATTTAAAGTGCCAACAGCTGCTCCAAAGTGGAGAATGGGAGACCTGCAGTTGTGCTTGCTTGTCAAACAATCCCTTTGATCAACCAACAATGTACAATCATGTTATTAAAGACTTATTATTTAAAAGAAAAGAATCTTCCAGGAGTCAAGTGGGTTGTGGAACTTTTAAGGCTGCTGATTCATGTCTAGTATCAATTGTCCATCTGTATTCACTTTTACTTTTCTCCTTACTATCTTTGTTTTATTATTTATCTTCCATTTTCTCCATTATCTTCCATTTTCACAACAAGGCTGGTCATTAATCTGCTAAAGCCAGTTTCAATACAGGAAATAAGAGCCATGTCGTCAGCATACATTAATAGTGGCATTTTCTATCCATTAAATAAAAGGGAGAAAATACTTTGTGACTTCATGACCATTGTAATATCATCAATATAGAAGTTAAATAGGAAGGGAGAAGTCTATAAAGATCCTCAGTCATCCAGGTCATTGTTGTCCCAGAGATGCTTTTTTTCAGGAGGCAACTGGACTTTTCTTGTTTTTTTTCTTTTGAAGACATTTCACTTCACAAAAGAAAAAAACAAGGAAGTCCAGTTGCCTCCTGAAAAAAACACCTTTGGGACAAGAGGTGAGCAAGTAAATAGCCCTGTTTAACTCCTCTTTCCAATAACATAGAGTCTAGCAAGAACCCTTGTGGGCCTGTTCTTATTCTAGCTGTAATCCAATCAATAGTTTAAGAAGATGATTATTGATATCTGCTCTAGCTAGTTTCTCCTATAATCAATACCTGTCAATGGAATCAAAGGCAGAGGGATCAGTAAAAGCAACATAGAGTTGTTTTGTATACCCACTGGTATATTTCTGAACAATCACCTTCAAAGTGGTACAGTAATCTAGCATGCTATGTCCTTTTTGAAACCCTGCTCCCCAAACATCTAATTTATTCAGAAGATGTTTGGTATACAGCTTAGAAGAAATATATAGCAGACTAAATGGACGATAATTGGCAAATTCCTGTCAGTTGCCCTTCTTAAAGATTAGGTATATTATAATTTGTTTCCAATGGGGAAGTATAACATACAGTATCTTTTACCCATTTCTTGAAAGAATGTAGTCAGGATGGATTCCCACCAGGAATTGTTGATCTTATATGTCTCTGGAGGAATTATGTCCTCCTCAGGAGTTATTCCAAGAGCCAAGCTTGAAACCTACTGCTTACACTTAGATTTTGTGGTTAATTATGCTTAATTCAATAGAGGTTGCTATTGGTTCAGTATATGGCAGTTAAAAAAACCTGGAAAATAAAAAAAAATATCCAAAAACTGAATTTTCCTGCATAATATATTAGGGAAAGAATTTCCTGAAATATCTAAAACAGTGCAATTCACTTTTGAAAAAACAAATTGTGAAGATCTGCATTTTTCAGAAGTACATATTCATAAAAATAAAACTGATTCATGGCTTTTCTATAAAATATATTAATGAATAAGCATGTTTAAATCATACATTTTCAAATGAAGGAGAGGCTAAGTATGACAAGACAAAATATAAGAGACTCGGGAGAGCATCTAAGTAGCTTTTTCTCTTACTTGCTGTGGAGTAGGAAACTATCATTTATGGCATTAATTTCTAGAATCGCTTTTGATTTTATTTATTTCAAGTGCTATTTTTATTTTTCTATATAGTTCCTCTTGAGATGGGAGTATTTCTTAGAGAACATCTGAATTATTGGTACAGTTTGAAGGCTTATTACTTGGCTAAAACTATGGCGGATGTCCCTTTTCAGGTAAATCTCTCTCTGCACCTCATCATTATTTTAGGACAGGAAGATAGATAACAGTAGTAATCACATGAAATTTTCTTACGCGGTTTGCAAAATGCAATATGTCATTTTATCAGGAATATGAATACTGCTAAAAATCCATTTATAGTACATAAATATATGCCACATGGTATACAACCAGTTGTAAATGTTTTCTTTTTATTATACAATGGAAAATGGGATGCCCAAATCGCATTTTAGAATTATATCAAGAAATGAAATCAGTTTCCATTATTCCACTGCCAAATTTTGAGGAGAAATATAAACCAGCTATATTTCAGTTGCGATTAGCTTAAAACTGTATGCTGCCTAGAGTTGCCTTATCAGGGAAACGAGCTACATATAAATTAAATAAATAAACAAAACTTTAGGCATGTGCTGAGCATTTAAAATAATATGTTTCATTCTATGGGCCTGGGCAAAGAAAACACACACTTCAAATTATCACAGTAGCTGTATTTTTTCACAAGACTGTGTCTGCTTCTGAAGTTGCTCCAGTAATCCCCATCTACATATATGTGCCAACCATTTCGTAAACTAGAGCTCTAACTCTGGAAAAATCCTCATAGGACCGTGATGGTGAACCTATGGCACACGTACCAGAGGTGGCACACAGAGCCCTCTTTGTGGGAACCCACGCCATTGCCAGCTTCTCTTCTGGTTTCCGTCATGCACATGCATGTCGGCCAGCTGGTCTTCTCGGGCACCAGATCGCCAGAAAATGGCCTGAAAATGGCCAAAAACCAGGCTGTTTTGGGGGCATTTTCCAGACCGTTTTCCAGGCTGTTTTCAGGCCATTTTTGGGCTGTTTTCAGGCCATTTTCTGGGCCAAAAATGGCCTGAAAACAGCCCTGAAAACAGTCTGAAAATGGCCCGAAAAATGGCCGAAAACAACCCAGAAAATGGCCAAAAGCAGCCAAAAAACAAGCATGTGCAATGGCCAGTTGGTCTTCGGGTTTCTAGCACTCCAGCATGCATGTGCACACACATGCATGCACATTCTGCTTTGGGCACTCAGTGTCGAAAAGATTCACCATTACTGTGACAGGACATGACTCATCTGATAAGTAGGAAACGTATTATAGTATCTGACTTTTCATGTGAATTGATAGATACAGGAACTAAAAATATCATTCAGCTCATAAAGACAAAGACCCACCTCTTGCTTTCACTTTATTTTCTTGATGTTAAATAGGGATATAACTCCTTCCTTTACTTTGACTTAACAGAGCACCATATTCTGTTATTTCTCTACTACAGATTATGTTTCCTGTGGCTTACTGCAGCATTGTGTACTGGATGACAGCACAGCCCTCTGATGCTCTGCGATTTGTCCTGTTTGCAGCATTGGGGACCATGACATCACTTGTGGCTCAGTCCCTTGGACTTCTGATTGGAGCAGCATCCACCTCACTTCAGGTCTCTTCTGCTTTATGTGATCTTCTGTATCTCTTTCTTTGGTGAGCCTGGCTCAACCTGATGTCCTCCAAGGGGCTTGGGATTTCCAATTCCATTGTTTCCAGCCAGCATAGCCAAAGGTTCGGGAATGATGTATTGGTAGCTGGAACTGAACTGTACTCATTATGCTTTTGTAGTCCATACCATATGTCACTAAAACAGGTTTTTTTAGCCAATATGATTCTGATAAAAGTTTGATCCACAATTTGATTTGTTAATTTAAAAAAATATTTCTTTTGTTTTTTAAGGTGGCAACATTTGTTGGTCCTGTTACAGCAATCCCAGTTCTTCTCTTCTCAGGCTTCTTTGTCAGCTTTGATACCATTCCTGCTTATCTTCAGTGGATATCCTACATCTCTTATGTCAGGTACATTTGAAGGGTGCTTCCTGTTTTTTCAAGCTAACTCTGCAAAATCTATATCTTTTTAGATCATTCTCTTGGAACTTTATTTTCACAGAGCTAGCTATTTTCATCTTTAACTATTCTTGGTATGTGTATTTGTATATATACACACATACACGTGCTGTGCAAACATGCATTCTTGTGCTTCTAAAAAAGATGAATGTGCAGGAAAGTTGTATATAATTTCACTTTACGGAGTCTAGATGTGAGTAAGCCAGTTTGATCTGCTGGATATCTGAAATTGTACCTGAGTTGTACAGCCTGAGTTCAAAGCCTGGACCAGCACAAAGTCTCTGAATTGTTTTGGGTCAAGTTATTTGTTTTCAGACTAATAATCAAATGCAACTCTGCTAACCATGAGGGGTAAACAAATTTTTGTTGAGACAACACCTGTATTTTCAATTGGAGAGTTTTTTTTAAAAAAAATAACTATTTTTTTGCATTAATTGAACTGTATGTTTTCAATATCTGTTTATAGTCTTTATTTCATTTATTATTAACTGCCTTGAGTGGTCAGGATAACCAAATATAAAATACTAATCAAAAAGTAGTTCTGTTGCTATACATTTCTAGCATTTCTTTGCTAGCATAGTGCTGAACTATGCTTGCTTTGAGTTTGACTTCGCAAATGATTCCTCCCTATAGGTATGGATTTGAAGGTGTCATTCTTTCCATCTATGGTTTGGATCGAGAAGATCTTCATTGTGACAAAGATGACACTTGCCATTTTCAGAAGTCAGAGGCTATCCTCAAAGAATTGGATGTAGAAAATGCTAAACTTTATTTGGACTTCATTGTGCTTGGAATTTTCTTCATCTCCTTACGTCTCATTGCCTATTTTGTTCTCAGATACAAAATCCGAGCAGAGAGATAGAGAACAAATGTGATAACATGAAGTTCTAGACTGTTGCTCTTTGGTTGTGGCTGATGAGTTTTCAAAGCTCGGTTGCAAATCATGTTGTCTTCTGACCCCTAGAAGAACTAAAATGGAAACTTGTTTCAGTTTTGAAAAATGCCACTGCTGATCCCAAGGGTTTCCTCTCCTGGAAAATGTATTTCTTCTAAGGTAGCTGTAGATCTGGAACTAGAATGAGAGTGTCTATCTTTTATTATAAGGGAAAAATATGAAATGTGTCATCACTTCTTGCTACATCTTACAAGTGTTTTTCCCACAAGAAATTCCACATTAGTCCACACATTTTTCCAGTTGTATGAAAAGGTGCTCTTTCAACCGAATGTTTAAAAATAAAGAAGTGAGAAATCTGATATTGGTTCTCCTTAATACCCAGCTTTGGAGCTTTAATCACATGAGCTGGTCTCATGTACCAAATTTTTAATATTGTATCATATTACAGTGAATGATGTAGAAGAATTTGAAAATCAAGATGCATACCTAGCTCCTTTCTCCTAGCATTCTGTTTTTGTAGTGTCTTTTCGGTTTTAGTTTCTTTGGAATTTCAAATACTATTTGTCTGTTTTATCTATTTTTTGTGAATGCAAAACCCGAAACAGAGCAAAATGGAAACCAATCTCAAAGCCTATTTGAATACTCTAGCATGTTTTTAATAACACATATTCTAAAAAGAGAAAGGACTGCCCATAGTTTAGTGTTTGGTATGATGAATGCTTAAGGACTTAGTTAAAAAGGTCTCAGTGAAATGTTTGTGCCCTATCCAGCAGTATACATAATACTGTGTACAAAACCTATTATTTTTGTTTTCACCAATTATGACTTTCTCAAAAAGAAATTCAAACCATGCTATTTTCACATTCCAGCAAAGCTAGTTGATTCCAAACCCATTCCTAGACAGTTTATTTTTCCCTCACTCACTTTTTGCTGTATTCCAACCAAATTTATCTAAACGGTTTGTTGCCAATTTGACATCTAATTTGACAACGGAGATGTGTAAACTGATGCCGATTACTAAAAGTGCCTACATCCTGATTTCAAATACTAGCTGTACATAGCACTTTGTCTCAGAACATTATTTGATAAAATTAACATTATAGGAAAAAAGACTAGCACTCTGGGCCAGTCTTATCTACCTCAGTGCAATGGATTCAGGTTGGTTTATTAAAGAAACCGATTAAGCTGTTTTCAATCCAAAACAGATTTCAAGTTGTATGTTCAGAAACCAAATCAAATGGCTGTTTCCACCAGGGGCTGTTGTTGAATGGATACTAAATCACCCAAGCCAGATCTCCAGAGTTAACTAGCGCATCAAAGCAAAACAAATAGAAATTGAAACAAAAACAAGGTTATAAATTTGAAGATAAATTTGTTTTATCCATATTGTAAGATTTGCCTCTTCCACAGTTCTTCTAGACTAGAACATGTTCCTGAAGTGCATAGTTTATATTGCTGGAAAATAATCAAATAATTAGGATTGTATTCATTGGCAAAGCCAAAGTCATTCTCTCTCCATAATCCTAGTCTTTTAATCTTAACTTCAGAGTTAAAAATAAAAACAGACACTGTTCTTTAAATTAGCATGCAACTTAGTCCAGACGTATCACAGGATTCAAATCTGCACCGCTAATTAGGTACTTGTAGGTTTGTATCCAGAAACCATTAAGAACTTTGTAAATTAACAACAGATATGTAACAACATTTGTGATTAGCACAGATAACCTCCAAGAATGTAATTATGTACCTTCAACAAGAAAACTTTTCTTATACACTTTGGAGGATAATTGGTCTCAAAATCAGTAGATGGCTTGTGATGGATTACCACCAGATTTGGAAGAGTCACACAAGAAGTGCTTTCCAAGAAACTCCTCTGATGTATCTGCTAATTGACAAGTAAGGCATTCACAGGAACTGAACATCCTTTCATGGAATATTGTAGGTTGGTACTGCAAGTGTAGAGATAAATCATTTATGGGTTATATCTCTAAATATAACATTATTTTGTTACAGGAAACATGGGCCACAGAGAATATGGGGCTTGATAATTTTGCAATACATTCTCCGAAGGCCACTAGATTAAGGAAAGGGGGGAAGAGGCCAAGTGGTGGGTTTTTCAAATAAGATCCACCCTGTGGTGAGTAATCTAAAACCCTGTAATCAATTTGCAATGGTTATAAACCTTTGAGTTGGCCATCTCCACATTCTTCCATCATGTTATAAAACAGGTGGAAGGAAACTGGTTTATGTTGGGACTATATATTACATCCTTAATAATCATTTTTATGTCCAGTGTGATGTATCCGTTTTGGATAATGTAATCATTTCCATATTCTGATACTATATTGGATCAAGTCACTAATAAATTCCTAATTCTTTTGAAAAAGAAAGAACACAATCCACATTAAGCCCCTTTAGGTTCTGTTATGTTAGTTAAACTTGGCCAGTTTAACTTAATCATGTTGTTTCTAAAAGATTATTAGAGAATTTGTTAACATGCCAGAATTGTCTAATATATCAAGTTTAAAAATATAGCTGTCCTAGATACTGCAGTTCCATTCTTAAGCCAAAATAATAATTGGCATGATATTTCCACAATGAAGAAAATTCTGTTACAAATTGTAAATCTACATGAATTATTTTCATCAGTGGAAACTGGAAGAAATTACTGTGAGAAATTAGTAAGCAAAAATGATTTCACATATAGCAAATGTAATATAAAAAATAAACTTTTTTTTTCTTGTTGACATCCCTGAAAATACCTTAAATATATTATACAGTGAGAATCTACAACAGACAAGCATTATTAGGAAGTCACATACAGCTATTACAACTGAGGTTGTTCAGGACCTCCCTTGCTTTTCAGTTAGAGTAGTGGGCAAGTCTGTTTCACACATTCTGGGAGTGCATTGCAGGAGGAAAGGATTCAGGATTGCTCCCTACGGTATTTCTGGCTTTTACAATATGTTTTAATCTGAAGACAAAAGACACTCATGGTGTTGTGACAGACAAACAGGAATCTTGTCCCTCTCCCACTTCAATAAAATTTATTAATTGCATATATATTTGCATATATCTGAGCTT